AGGGACTCACACAGCCAGGGTGCATCGATCAGTGATGACATCATTCATTAAAAAACTCACTAATATATATTCTTCCTTTTCCCTTATCGATTTGTTGCTCAGAGATACCAGAGGATGAAGAAACCTGCGTTTGGGTTTAATTTAAAGGTGTTGAACACTCATTTAGTCATTACAGCAGTGTCTAGTAGGAATGAATGACTTGTGAGTCGTGCTCGGGAACGTAAAAAAGCCCAGAAGCTTCTGCGTCAGCAAAAAGAATTCAGCCAGAGGAAAAAGTAGCTTCAGACGGCAAGTTTTGAAGTCTCATTTCCTGATATGTGCACATCTCTCATCTGAATGGCTCACAGCAACGCGACTCTACCGCTGACAGTTTGCTCTGCAATACGGATGTTTTATCTCCACAAATAACACAAGCCTGGAGGAGTTCTGCTGTGCGGTGGAGTTGCTAGTGCTAACAGTTAGCTTCTACTGGATGAGACGTTCCCTGCTGCTTTCTGGACGCTAAACAAACAACAGCCTTCCCCGTCGTGAGTCCAGACGGGTGAGTCCATGAATGCTGAGAGACAGAGTGACATAGATCTGCCAGGCTTTTCTAATCCTAGAGTTTCACACTTTTCTAGCAGAAACTAATGAAGGAGACAGGCGTAGGAGACTATTCATGTTCAGCCTGCATGAAAAACTCTGAGTGACTGATGATAATCAGAATTAATGATTAAAATGCTTTATCAGTGTTCAACCGCTTTAAAGAAATAAGTTTGTGTGATGATCTGTTATTTATCTACAGCAGCTGGCATCGTTTCTTCTAATGTGAACTCTGAAAGTCTCATAATTCAGCTCCACTTCTTCCCAAGTTCCCAAGAGGGATCCTCTTTATGTCGACTATGGCCGATCTGCCTCTTAGCAAAGATTAAAAGATGCTAGGTCAGATTTCTGAAAGCCACATTGGCGTTATGGTTAAGAGACACACACCCTACCAGCCTAGACTTGTTCTTGACCGACTGATTGGGCAGATTTAAATGAGGATGACAGTTAATCTGATTACCCACAACAAAGAAGTATGACATACGAGCTCTGTCGCCATTGGAATCATTTATTTGTTCATTTTGTGCTTTTCAGATAGAATAAATTTTCCTCATTTAGGTCTTTTTTATCTACTAATTTATGCTGGCGAGATTTTAGTACTTTAGTTCTGAAGCAAAGCAGCGTTCGTGTTCAGTAAACTGCCAGCGTGGTGCATTCAATGTCCTCAGAGGGACTGCTTCATCCTTGAGTTTCTGATAAATCTGGTCAAGTTTTCATTGGACATAAATTGTCCTTCTTGAGCTCACGTCTCATGATAAAAGTCAGTTCACCTACACGGGGATGTTAAAAGGAGGAAGAGGAAGAGTAAAACACTTCACGGAGGACTGGCAAGACGAGGTCAAAACTCTAAATCTGTCACTGAAAGACGAATGAGAAGATCAGCTCTTTCCCTTCATGGCAGAGGTTAATTTGATGTCAGTCAGTTATTTATGTTCAGATCCATGTTGTAAAAGTTGAAATATTTTCTAGGTGTAAACGTCTGTGTTAGACCAATTTTCACATTGTAATAAAGTATGAAAAGAGTTACTCTGCTTTTAATAACTAAGATTCTGTCCAGAGGTTATAAACTAAACCTAGAAAAAAGGTTAAAAAAAAATGTGTGTGTAAACAGAAAAAAGTGCACATATATATATTTTTTTCTCCAAAAAGAGCCCAAATAATTCCTTTTGATCAGAGATTTGGAATAAAGGACTCATCCTCCCAAAACCGGCAATAAATAAACAAATAAATGTGGGGAAAAAAACATTGAGATTAAATTTTAAATAAAAAAAAATTTAAATAAAAATTTTAATAAATAAATGTTGAAATTAAATTTAAAATAAATGAGGAAATAAAAATGTTAATAAATGAAGAAGTCAAAGAATAAAACAAATGTTGAAATAAGGTAAAAAACTAAACAAATTTAACATTTAAAATAACAAATAAATGTGGAAAAAATAAATGTTGAATTAAAATTTAAAGTAAATGTTGAATTAAAAATTTCAATAAATAAATGAGGAAAATATGTACATAAAGGAAGACAAAGAATAAAACAAATGTTGAAATAAAGCAAAAAAGTTGTAATAAAATTTTAAATGAAGAAATAAATGTGGAAAAAAATATTGAAATCAAATTTAAAATGAAGAAATGTTGAAATCAAAATTAAAATAAATAAACGAGGAAATAAAAATTTAAATATATGAAGAAGTGAAAGAATAAAACAAATGTTGAAATAAAGTAAAATTAAACAAATATGTTGAAATATAAAGTTATATTTCATTCTATCTTTACAAATATATTCATTTTCATTTTTGTTTACTTAGATTTGTTTCCTTATATATTTGTTTTTTACTAAAATTAATTTGTTTTACATTTTAATTTCCTCACATTTATATTTCCTAATTTGTTTGTTTATACTTCCACATTTCTTTACCTTTTTTTATTTTATTTTCACATGTATTTATTGATTTATGTCTTTATTTCCTCATTTATTTATGTACTTATTGCCTGTTTTGGGGCCATAAATTACAGCCTTTCATCTAAAAAGTCTTCTCTACGTTAGAAAAAGGATGCCGTTTCTCTGAAGCTGAATGAAACTCATCGTATTCATTACCACCACCGTCATCTTGCTGTCCTAGAGGCTGAAACGAAATCATTAACGACTATATTAGCCATAAAGGTGATAAAAATCGCTTTGCTGAGTTTCAATGAGCAGCCAACGGCCTTGAACGATGTCATCTGGCTGGCTGATCACTTTTAACTCACTTTTCTAACACGTGCGTGATCCGTCCTGTTCAGAGAACGTAAAACTGCTTTGCTACAGATCAGCTCTTTCTCTATCCACACTGTAGCTCACTTAATGGAATTAAATCCATCTGTCAGAATTTTTGCCAGAGTCAGCAGGATTACGCTCTACCCGTTAGGCAAATGGCCCTTGACTGGAAACCATTCGTCTCCAGTGCAGCGAGAGTTTGAGTCCCTCAAAAATGCAAGCATGTTGCAGATGATTGATATTTCAATTTATGAGATGTATAGATTTTGTCTTGGAGCTACACGGAGACGTAGACCTTTGATCATAGAACCTGGTCTTTCTGCTGTCATCCTCCACAGGATGAAGATTTTATCTCATTTGCTGCACCAAATCTATTACATCCTGCTCAAGCAGCTTGAATTTATAGGTCAATATTTAATAAAATCGTTCAGAAGCTTTATTACCAGGTGTAAAATGAAAGACCAGAATTGAATAAATGAATGATAACACAATCGATCCATCAAAACCTCTGGAATCTGTTAAAATGTAATTGTGACATTTAAAGGAGGTTTTAATCATTTGAAAAGGCCACACAAGCAGTTGTGACCGTGATTTTGCCCTTTTAAGCCAAGCAGAACGACTGGAAACATTTTATAGAATAAATCTGACCTCTAAAGGAGAGGAGGATCCAGAATGAGGAAGGATTGTTTTATTTTTGCAAGGATTGCATCTTCTCCCTTAGAGAGATTACTCATTGCAAATCAATAAAGTAGTTTTGGATAATCACCTCCACTCTTTGAAGAAATCATTTTTATCCCTCATGGGGGCCGACATTCCTAAACACGATGACGCTTCCTGTCACAAAATGTTTAAAAAGTCTTACTCTAAAAATTAGTCTACTGTTTTTGCAGACAAATACAAAAGCTGTTAGATCTCTTCTGCAAGGTTTTTGAACAGATTAAAGTTATTGCAAAGCTGCAGGATTTTCATGAAATATACAGTCACAAGGGCAAAAAGTGACAAGTGCACCAAAAACGTGGTTGAGTAGGTTTGCCGTGAGACATGAAAACTGTCCATTTCTAAAATAGCTCTTGTTTTCCTTTTAAGAAATTTTGTATTTAACATTTCTATTCTAATATCTGCAATAAGATTGTGTTGAATTGCCTTTGTGGTTTAATCTTGAGCATAATCTCACTTAAATGTTCAAACTGGTAACACTGGATTGCGGGTAACTCACGTTCCATCACATGAAGTTTTAGCTCAGCACCTACATATGACTGAAGCCTTTGTTGTGCTTACTTAGGTTATTTGGCTGTAGCGCCCATATTACCAGCTGCAGACACACACTTGGGTGATTAGCTTTATTAAAAGTGTCCAGTGGTTTAGGCTGCTTTGCACTGTGTGGATGTATACTCAAATTTTATACCTTAAACGGAAAGCTGCAGTCACCCACTATTTTATTAAACCCTTATTTGGACTCAAGCAAAAATAAAGCATAGGCCACCAACCAAGCAAAACATTTTAAATGAACTCCGAGTGAAGGACGTTGTGGCTGCAGCCCAGCCCAAATATACACAAGTGCTCCCATCTTCATAAACAAGCACTTTTGGCCCATCCTCAGTAAGGCATAAGGACTTAAACCAGCTTCCATCATGCGAAACGGGTGCTTAAGTGCATTTAAGCCATTAAAAAAAAACTTTAAATGCTACAAGTTTACTCTAATGTTGCAAGTAAATTCAGCTTGGCAAGTAGTTGTCATGATACATGTTATCAGAGGGTCAAGAATGAAGCTTTAAAAAGACCCTAACTGGTTAACACTTAAGCCTCTAAAATCTATCCTGCCAATATTTTTTTTGCATTCAAGTGTGCAAGAATGCATGCAAAACGCACCCAATTCCCTAAAGATTTAACAGCAAGGCAAAGCGGTGTGAAAAAAGGAGCACTCAGTCGTGTGCCCAGTCCATTTTCAACCTTAAAGCCAATTTAAATAGAGACCTGATGATCGGATCCGATCAAGGAGCAGCAGTTAAGAAATACCATGAGTCTAAAATAGTTTAGGTTTTTTTTAAGGAAATTTTTATTAGAAGGAAATTTTTATTAGAATTGTAGAAGGTTGGTTTAAAGCTGCAGAAAATGAGCAGTTAATCCATGTTGCACATTAGACATAAGGTAGAAATCATTAACAGAACCATTTCAAAAACAGGTTTATTAAAAAGTTTTTTTTATGACAGGTTTAAACTCATTGGTCCAACAGTCACATGTTCAATTCCGTACACGTCTGAAACATCGCGCCTCTGACCTGCGGAGAAGAATTCAGATTCTGTTGAAAGCAGCAAGTATTTAGGAAGGGAAGGTCAGCCTCACCTTTAGTCACCCCTTCAGGAATAGAACACTGGCCACTACAAACACCACCTAGTGGCTTCTTGACGTCACAGATCACAACATCACAATGGATAAAGAGCTGCAAAAGGGTTCAAATTAGAATTTCGCCTTTAAGATATAATATGGTATACAATATAATAGTTACCCGGTTATGCAGGTCATCTTTGCCATCAGCAAAAGCAAACATCTGGACCTCAAAACGCTTGAAGTGAGAGGGATATTTAATCCTGGCATCAGCCCAGACAGGATGAAAGATCACCTGGTATGGGTCCACTGGGTTCGGACAACTGAAAAACAGTCAAAATAATGCAACTCCAGCTAGTTCTACATTTTTGGTAAAATTTAGTTAATCTTTTAGGTACCCATCAATGATTAGATTCCATCTGGGTTGGGATGTCCTGTCATCTTGTGTTGCCCAGCAGTTTTCCAGTTCCAGGGACACTTGTGGGTTTGTGGTTCCGGTCAGCTCCACCTCAAAATACAGCGGCTGTTGCAGGTATTTTGCTATGGGATAAACCTCTAAGGGCTGAAACTCCCTGTAGGAGTCATCTGAAGGACAACAGCATCAACGTGTATCTTCAGTAGACAGTTGGCTTTAAGGAGTTTAATTAAGCAGCATTTAAATGTGGATGACTTTCTGCTCAGGGATGTTGGTAAATGTCCCACACTGATGACGAGCATCAAGTTTGTAAATTGTCCTACCCAACGAGAGCTTCATCACAACTTCCAGATGGCCTTTTGAGTTCTCAGCATATGGTTCACTTCTACGAGGTCTGGTGTTGAAGGAGACCGCCTGGCTCGTGTTGATTTCATACAGACAAGTTACCTTCAGACTGGGGAGGGGGAGGTTATGCGTTACCATTCAGAGGGTCAAATCCCAGTTACTTTCAAAAGCAATTCTTACTGGTAGTCTGGTTCCTCCGAGTCAGAGTCCTTTTTCATCAGGAGTGCATTTGGCAGGGAAATCTCATTCTCGTACAACATGGCGTTGGGTAAAAACTAAAAATACGACGAGTTAGAAAACCATAACTAGTTAAACATGTCAAGTTCTGCTACCTTTCTGGTTGTTCCACATGAATTCACAGTAAAGACAAAGTAAGCATGGCGGTCGTCGCTGGAAGAGGGGTGACATCTGGAGTCCGCAAGGGTGAGCTGACTGGGGTTCAGTGACGGTACCGACTCCAGTTTGACTGCCAAAGCTGTCATGGTTCCATTCGGGAAGCATTCTGGAGGACAAATACATGTGGTTGGTGATCGGTCAAGGATTAAGAAATTTAACAAGACATACCAGTTAATGCTGTTGGGAAGTGGCATGCCACAGAGAAGTCCTGGATTAGTGCATTCGTCTCTGGATTTCTTAACACCACTCCGATTCTGGCTTTTACAGATGAAGACTCAATAGCCTGAAAGACATGAGTAATAAATTAAATTTGATAAGTAGTTACAACTTAAAATACAACTTTGTGCAGGCAATACCTCAACCACAACGTCAGGGGCTGAAAACGGTACAACGAAACTAAAGTGCGTCCCGTTCTCCATGTAGCCATATTGTTGAGCCAACGTGGGAGTCAGGAAGCTCTTTCCAACCAGCGTCTGAAAACTGTAGTTCTTGGTTCCGAACTTCACCAGGACGTAGAAGTTGTGGTTGTCACAGCCACCAGAAACGGATGGAGGAACTGTCGGAAGAAAGCTTTTAAAAACAAGACTTCTAAAATAAAATAAACCCACACGACAATACAGACCCAGCTCTTGAACAAAAGCTTGCAGAGAAGCTGCATGAGAGAAGGGAACGAGCTTGTTCAGCACCAGCAGACCAAAGGTCAGGTGAAGGGAATAGACTGCAACGCCATCTTCTGCCTTAAAATGAAGACAAGGTAAATAAAAGCCAAGGGAGCAACGCAGCTGGAGTGCAAATCAAATATTTACCCGTTGATGAACTGCAGGGTATGTGAAGGGTACTTGCAGGGTGAAGACCTTCATGGTGCTGTTAGGGGACATGTACTCCAAGACGTTAAAGCCTCTGGCACTGCAGTCGGCCATGGACAAGACCTCATTGGGGAAGCTTATGTTTATTAAAGCCACATCTGAGGCAAAGTGTCCCAGCGTCATCTTAAACATTCGCTCTTCTGGAATCGTGTCTGAAAAGCAAAGAACGCACGATCGTGTCAACAAGCCAACACAGTTACAGTTAACCATCATGACTCACTGTCCATGAGCTGCGGAGGTCGTGGCAGGAAGTGTGTGACGATGTTGAGGAAGACTTTGTATCTCGTGTCTTCAAGATCTTCTGTCCAGAGCAACTCTAGCATGGGCTCGATCATGTACGAGACGTAGTACAGGTTATCCTGAACGCGACTCTGCAGAAGAAGACATCTCAGATGGATCACGTTTTTGGTATACAACGTCAGATGGTCGATGCAGTCATAAAGAAATAGAAGTTAAGACCTTGTAGTAGCCGCCAACAGCTCCAATAGGAATCTCAGTTATGATGTAGAACTCATTGAGGGACACGGAGTATTGCCGGGCCTGCATCTCTCCAGCGTCGAGCCTTTGGCCTTTTATTCCAAAGTTTAACTCCAGCAGATTAAACGAGCCGGAGGAAATTAATGGGTCGATGTGCCGAGGCAGGTACCAGGTGATTGTGGCATCGGTGAAAAAGACACTTCCTGCACAAAAGGAGCGAAGAGAAGGAAGCTGAGTCAGACTTCCATTAGTGGATTAGATGTCGGGTATTTAAGAGGGATGTACACATTTACGTGGCTTTGTGGGAACCAAAAGTGAACCATTTAACTAGAACCGCTCCAGATAATCACCTTCCTGCACTGGACAAGCAGCAGAAGTGTCGATCTGAGTTGCCAGCCACCTCTTTTCAAAGATTGTGGAGGATTTGAGAACACTCATGGGAATTCCTGCAACCTGTGAGGAAGGTTGACGTAGAAAAGAGCATCGTTAGGTACACATTTCGACCCAAGTCCAGTTAGGAACTTGGCACGTTTTCCTGAGGTCACTTACATTCTGGGTGAAGGTTTCTGGTGCCACCAGTGGACTCCGTAGAACCAGCCGTGTGGGAGTATTTGCAATTCCATACCCCCTTTTCTGCACATCAGCCACACTCATGGGAATCTCCCCACCAGGGGTTGAAAACACAACTGTTGTGACTCTGAATCCTGCATCCAGAGGGCGTTTCTACAGCAACAGCAAAACCCACCCGGCAAACCGTTAGAAACCAGATAAGCAATATTTTAAAGTTGAATAAACTCAGGTTCAACCTCAGCAGCTCGTCTGAAACTGGTTGTCTTTGAGCCAGTCTTTGGGATGGTGTGTTCAGGCAGAGCATAGTCATCCAGAGCTGCACGTCTCACAGAGACCTGCAAAAAGACAGGCCATCAGTGACTGCCCCAGTCCACTCACACAGCTCAGATCACGATCTCCAACCTCCATGAAGTTGTAGTCACAGAAAATCTCCCGAGAGGCCCAGGAATCATAGCTGCACGTTTCAGCCACCTGGTACACCTCGCCCCCTTGCACTCGGAGCTGCAGGGCTGTTGTAAACATTTTGTCCTCCTACAATCAGAAATCTGTTGAAGCCACATCTAAAAAGTGTGCAGACTCAACCTAGTCACACACACTTCTAAAGTTACCATATTTTGGGTAAAACAGTTTTGCAGGGAGACGTAGATCAGAGCATTCCCCAGCTGGTCAGTCTTCATGCTAAAGCCGCACTGAGATGCCAAACTCGGTGTGAGCACAACGGCAGAGTTATCTGAGGAAGAGGAGAAGTGTTACCCTCCCACTCTCTCCAAGAACATAAATTCAATTAATTCTGAAGGAGAAACTCACTGATGATGCCAGCAACTTCTAGATAGTTTCCTTCAAGAGGACCAACATCAACTCGCATAACATTCCCCAAACATTTAGTTCTGATACCTAAAACAAGTTTAAATTAATACACCCATCGAGTACATAAGTAAATAAAGATGAAGAATATCAGCTTACTTATTGTAGGGTACTTCTTTTGAGCATCTATGCTTAGAGCTATAAAGAGAAACAGACACCTAGAGAGGAGAAGAAAATGATCAATAAGCCAAATATGGAATAGACGAGGAAGGAATTTATAGCACAAATAAAACTACACACCCAAATCCTAACAATCGACCCATGGTGCAACGTGCTGGAGACTGGTAACCTCAGAAATCCTACGTTTGCAGCTTCATATAAAGCCACAGGCGTGTCAGTCTGACTGGTTCCTGCCTAACAAGCTGCACACAGGTGGATCCTATCACAGCCTGATGGGGATAATTGTGTGGAACTGTTGTGTTCAGCACCAATGGGTCAGTCTACATCTCCAGCTTATGGATAGCTTTCAACTAGCTCGTTTAATTGTACTTTATTTGTTTTCAATTAAAAAACGAGTCAAATCAAATCCTGCATAATCCCACGGTAAGAAAAAAAAACAGGCTTTAACAGTTTGTTGACAACATTTAGACAAAAATCCATCAGATCGAAACAAAAATCTGAATTAAACTCATTTTTGGCTACTGTTATCGGCTGCAAGGTGCCTGCTTAGGTGAACTTTTTAACAAAAGTTTTTGGCATTGAAGAAAAGACACACAAGGACGTAAAAAAGTAATAAAAACGTTTTTTTTCTACTTCTGTTCGTTATCATGAGGTCCAGCAAAGATAAATGGGTGGCCAGTGTCCCCACCAGCCCCTCACTGGTGCTGCCTCTGCTGGAACGTTTTGCTATTGAGCTCTGAAAACAAATAAAAAAGTAAATAAATAAACAAAAATGAATAAACAAGCAAATAAATAAATGAACATAGAAAATAATCAGGAAACGCAAAACATTGTAAAATTCATGTCGCAAATAAATAAACAAACCAACTAATAAAAACAAACAAACCAACTAATAAACAAACAAACAAACATAAAAATCATTAGGAAACTGCTGCAAAACATTTTAAAACTCATGTCACAAATAAACAATTAAGTAGATAAGCAAGCATGCATGCATGCAAACAAACACATAAAAATTAATTAGGAAACTGCTGCAAAACATTTCAAGTAAAAAATAAACAAATTAACGAATAAATAACAAATTAAATAAATAAATAAGCAAACCAACGAATAAAAAACAAACAAACCAACTAATAAATAAACAAACAAACATAAAAATCATTAGGAAACTGCTGCAAAACATTTTAAAACTCACATCACAAATAAGTAGATAAGCAAGCAAGCATGCATGCAAACAAACAAACAAACATAAAAATTAATTAGGAAACTGCTGCAAAACATTTCAAGTAAAAAATAAACAAATTAATGAATAAATAATAAATTAAATAAATAAATTAACAAACAAACAAATAAATAAACAAACAAATGAGCAAATAAATAAATATATACATTCACTGGACAGTTTTGTAAACATTTTGCTAATATACTTGATAGAAAACCCGTTCTTTGGCAGCTGACCCAAGCTCCTCCTTTGTTTTTCATACCGATAAAATAATAGTTTTGTGGAGAGTAACTGCAGGGGAATTAAAGTGTTTTTCTATCTTTGAAACAGTGTTGTTGTGTACGAAGATGGTGATATGGGGTCTCGGCTATGTTTTCTTTATTTCAGAGGAATGCTGTGCTTCTCGTTTGCTGCCAAACAGAGTCTCCGAGCCTGGAGTTGGCCGTGAGCCCACCAGCACATCTTTCTCAGGGAGGATTCAAATCTACCGGTTTGCTTTCACTGTAAGCTGAGATCAGCTGCAGATAAATCACTCACACATAAACCCAGACATGTTCTAAACATTACCCCTCAAATGAAAGCAGGTACAACTTTTATAGGAGTAAGATGTTCCTGAAGGAGCAGCCGCTCCATATTTGGGAACATTGTAGGCTTTTTGCTAATAAAACCACTGAAATCATTCCTCGTGGGATGTCTCCACATCTTTGCAGCTTTCCTCCCCTCCTCTCGCTCCTCCCCGTTCCCTGTGAAAGGGAGCACACTGCCTCCGTCCCACCTCCGGCATCTCTTGTCCCGTCTGTGAAGCCGCAGCACCACCTCCTCCCTGCTCTCCTCATGTTGCTCTGCTCCTCCTCCTCACTGTGATCCACCCAGCTTCACATCGGCTGCGGCGTTTCAGAAGAACATGCACAAAAAACAGCTGCATAAAAGTTAATTTCATGGAAAGACAGGCTACAAAATCAGGTATGTTTAATACTTACACTCAGATAAATGAAAACAGGTGGATAAACCTGAGAAAAACCTGTGTTTAATCTTTTAAAAGTTACCCGAAAGCCCTGCATGGTAACAATATCGACCAGAAAAGATGCTTTTATCAATAATTCAGATTATTTGTCTGTTTGATGTGTTTGAAATTCATCTGAACTTATTTCCTTTTATTTCAAGTTAATTTTATTTTTGAATTTGTAACACACACACAAACACACACACACACACACACACACACACACACACACACACACACACACACACACACACACACACACACACACACACACACACACACAGAGCCCATTTCCTGTGTGCTGTATTGATTTTCTCTCTGCGGAGGGTTCATTCTGTATGCTCCACAAACAATCCAATTAAATTGGTCTTCATCGATAGTGATGAAAGGTAAATAAACCATCTGGAAGCCAGGCTGGAGCTGCTGTCCTATCTCACACCCTGCTAATACCGTAAATTAATCTGTGATGTTTCTGCTGCCGTCATCAGGACCATGGGGTATGGCCAAATCCTCCACCAGCGTGGGAAAGAGGAGGACCAGGTCAACCTCAACGTGGGAGGCGTGCAGCACAAAGTGGACCCGGACACGCTGCTCCGCTTCCCCCAGACCCGACTGGGACGCCTGCTGCACTGCCAGAGCGAGGCAGCCATCCTGGAGCTGTGCGACGACTACAGCCCGGCCGAGAGAGAGTTCTACTTCGACAGGAATCCCCGGGTTTTCCTCTGCGTGCTCAACTTCTACCGCACGGGGCGCATCCACATGATGGAGGAGCTATGCATCTTCTCCTTCAGCCAGGAGATTGAGTACTGGGGCATCCACGAGCTGCACCTCAGCCCCTGCTGCCACAACTTCTACCACGAGAGGAAGGAGTACATCGAGGACCGGGACTGGGACCTACGGAGCGACGACCAGCAGGAGCCGAGCTTCAACTCCTCCTTCGAGGAGCTCTCTGCTCTCGATAAAGACCTTGCTAAGTTCAAAGGTGCATGGTGTGCAGAGCTAAGGAGCTACATTTGGCTGAGGCTGGAGGACCCAGGCCACTCCACAGCCTCCAAGGTTATTGCGGTGGCCTCCCTTAGCGTGGTGTTGACCTCCATTGTTGCCATGTGCATCCACAGCATGCCCGAGTTTCAGCGTGTGGACGACAACGAGAAGCCCATCGAGGACCCCGTCCTCACCATCCTGGAGGAGATATGCATCGCCTGCTTCTCTGCAGAGTTTGTCATCAGGCTTATTGTCGCACCATCCAGGAGGAAGTTCCTTGGGAACCCCTTGAACATCATAGACGTTGCTTCCATTTTGCCGTTTTACGCCACGCTAGCCCTGGAGACCACCGACGAAGACAGCATGGAGGAAAACGAGGACTTGGAGAACGTGGGGAGGGTGGTGCAGGTGCTGCGTCTCATGAGGGTTCTCAGAATCCTCAAGCTGGCGCGACACTCCATCGGACTGCGAGCTCTGGGTGCCACGGTCCGCCACAGCTACCAAGAGGTGGGTCTCCTTATACTCTTCCTCTCGGTTGGGATCTCCATCTTTTCCGCTCTAATCTACTTTGCAGAGAAGGAAGAGAAGGACACAGATCTGGGAACCATCCCATCGGGTTGGTGGTGGGCGATGATAACGATGACCACGGTTGGCTACGGCGATACGTGTCCAGTGACGCTGGCGGGGAAGTTAGCGGCCACCTTATGCATCATCTGTGGCCTGCTGGTGGTGGCTCTGCCCATCACCATAATCTTCAACAAGTTCTCAAAATACTACCAAAGAAACAAAGCCATGGAGGGACGGGGTATCACCAAACCCGAACGTCAAGACCCAGAACTTCCATATTATAACATCAAGGAGCTGTTCACGGGCAGCGTGTATCCCTTTATAGGGAGCATCGCCTTCCGGAACAGCGTGAGCAGCAGAGGAGACGACACGGACGCCTCCAGCCTCCAGGACATTGAGGTGTGCGATAATGATGACACTTGTGAAAAGGGGGAAGCAAAATGAGATTCCTGCCATTTCACCATATCACTCTCTTTATGACAGCAAGTCACTTGGTGCCTCCGAGGGCAGAGCGTTCCACCTCTCCCCTTCCCACACCGTCTTCCTCCTGCAGTCTGACAGAGAAAAACGTTGGCCGTGATTCTTTTCCCTGTGTGTGTTTTTTTTAATCTGCTTGTGCAACGTCACTAAAGCCAAGAACTCCAAAGGGAATTATCTGAAGCCCACTCAGAGGTTTGAAAGCCCATTTTCTGCTTGAGAAAACTGCAATGATGCATGTAGGAGGCCAAAATGTTAATGTTTTTCAAAGTAATGTCCTTTATTGATTCGTCTGCTCGCTGGGAGTTCAGACGGAGAGTTTGCCCCGTGCAAGAGGCTAGGATGTCTAAAAATTACCTTGTAGTGTCGAACCACAGCTCTGCAGCCAGCATGACTAAGTGTGAATGCACTTTTGAGCTCAAGTGATGAAAACAATTGCATAAAATGATTGTTTTTGCAGAAACAAGGCTGCACTAGAGCACGTTCAGGCTTGGGTTGAAGAGCTGCCTTGGCATGCAAATGGGTAAATCTTGTGAACATGAAATAAACCTCAGAAGAAAAAGCTTTTCTTTGTGACGTGACTTTCTATTTCTTAAGATTTGAGCCCTGTGCCATCAAACACTTTTTAAACAACAAGGGGTTAAATCCAAATTCACCGAAAAGGCATGAAACCCTCCATCACCTGTTCACCCTTTTTCTGTTCTTTAAAGCATCGATCTCCTGTCCCCTGCTGTAACTTCCGCTCAGATGAGCGGCTGTGCTACAAAAGCAAGAAAAAAAATCTTTTCTCTGCAGGGGGCTCCCGAAGAGACGGAGCTCCGTCTTAAACAGGAAGATGTTAACTGAACCACTCAAATACATTTAAAGTTCAGCGTGGTTTTTTTTCTTGGAGCCTTAAAGTTAGAAAGGAGGCAGAAAATGATCATAAATCACCGTTAAACACACAGCAGACTTTCCCCATGTATGAACCCCACGTGGTCCCACCTAAACAGATAAACACAATTACCTTTTTTCATTACTTTTAGCAAATGAGTTTCGATCCTCAGTGCTCCTGTGTCAGGTGTGCATCACTTAGTGAATTAGCATTTTGCTTGATCCACATTTTGTGCTTAGTGCTCTCATCGCTTTGCCAAACAACACACAGAATTTGTCCTGACACCTATTGATTGTCAGTAAATGTACATGCAAGCGTACTGAACCAGCAGGTTTACCGATGTGAAAATGTCTTCCGTGTTAAAAAAAGTGAGGTTGTGGGAAGTTTTTGTGAGTGGTCAGCGTTCTTCCTGCGGCAGACGGTGGTCGATGGTGAATTAGTGCAGTGGTGCCCCTAGAAAATGTTCATGGGGGCCAGTGAAAATTTTAGGGCAAATTTGTGACCATAGAGTTGCTAACTGTGTGACCACAAGCCAGAAATTGAAATCAGGACCAGGGGTCTCATTTATCAAACATTGTGTAGAATCCTTACTAAAAATGTACCTACGACAAGCAGGTTTGTGATCTATCAAACAGCAGTCTCCGCTTCATAAATCAGAAACTATCTAGAAAGGTTCTCAGCTGCTTTTTAGTCACATCCCACCTTCGCCACGCCCACTTACTGCCATAAATAGTCAATGCAAAGTGCCTTGTGGATCTCATGCATATACGTAAGCCGGCTGTTGCAGCGCTCCGCCAATGACGATGGCGACCGTAGATCAAGGCAGATCAAGGAAGTGCAACTTCACAGAAGCAGAAGTTGAGGTACCTGTGGGTGAGGTGGAGAAATGAAAGGAAGTGCTTTTGCAAAACAAATAAGAGAAAATCCACGGAGTGGCACAGCGTTGCTGAAGCCGTCAATGTTGTGAATTCTTCAGAGAGATCTGTGGCGGATATAAAAAAACATGGTCCAATTGGGATTCAATCCCCAGACTCCCGGGTGAAAGTCACATGCGCTAACCAGTCAGCCAAACGGAGATCTCCCCTGTACAAGTAGCCAGGGCGCATGATCAATCGTGTCACAGTGACAGGACACACACACTGTCACAGATGCATGACGTTCTGTCTCAGTCTGTTCCCCTGCTGATATTCTGCACTTCAGGCTGTGTGTGTGTGTGTGCGCGCGCATGTGTGTGTGAGTGTGCACGTATGTGTGTGTACGCGCATGTGTGTGTGCATGTGGGGGGTCTTGTTCTGTGTGAAAACGAAGCGGTACAAGTGATAATGCTGCAGGATTTCATAATGTTATCCGTCTCAGCAGCAGCACTGCAGGTGCTCTCCATGTCCAACATGTGCGTAAGCCAGGTCCTTAGTCAACTTAAAGTTGTGCACATTTTTCCGCCAAGTTTTCTTTCATAAATCCCAAAGTTTGCATGGAAAGTTGCTTACGCAGTTTTCGACCCCGTTTTGTGCGTAAGCAAGCTTGATAAATGAGGCCCTCCTACCAGAGTACCATCTAAGCCCCGCCCCTTCTATGTAAACTAATAGGACATTTTTCCCACTTGACTCCTGTTGATTTACACATTTCTTCACAAATCAGTGCAATTTCAAATGAAAATTTGGACATTTTCTTGCTCTTTTAACCACCTTGTGATCGACGACTTTAAAATTCTCGTAAACAGTTTCTGAAATTGTGTTTTTAGCAAATAGGAAGTTTTCAGCTAATATCTATTTGAGAATCACCTTATTGGAGCGACACGACTTTTAATTTTCTGCCAAAACCTTTTAAAAGTTTCATGTGTTAAGCTAAATAAATGAAAAATATATATATTTGTGACTCAAAATGAGTGTGAAAACATCCATTAAAACTTTCAGACACTTAAATTAAAAATAAATCCTGGCTCCTTGCAAGTGAAACATAAAGAAACAAGGGATGATTAAAAACAATAAAGGTTTAGCACACCCTACATCAAACTAACCTCCGAGAATTCCCATTTGCCCCGTGCACATCCATCATAACTCACAGTGACCTTTTATTTTGTGTGAAGTTCAGAGCCAAACGTCTTTGCAGACCCTGCAGCTTTGTGCGACGTACAAATCCATAAATTTCACCTGAAAACAAATGCCAGAGAAGCTCGTTTTCCTTCAACTTTTCCCAGATTTTCCTACTTTAGAACACTAATATAATCATAGCAGACTCTGGAATCTATCTCTTAACTCAAATGATGATTACATACAAAAATCTAAAGCAGAAAAAAATTAAAACCTTTGATTTGTTTTGTCCTTCCCACTTATGAGGGTGATCCCAGTTTTTCTGACATAAATCCGATTGTCCTGTGACAACTTATATCCCGGCGCTTTAACGCTCCACCACATCCAGTCAAGTCGAACTAAGGTTTCAACCCCCTCCCTGCAAAACTATTGTGGTAAGCAGCTTCCTTTCAGCCTTAATGTAATGAAAGTGGTTTAATTTCATGGGTGGAAGAAAAAATTCAAGCTTAAGTGCCTAAAGGGGAAGTTCAGTCGTGCAGCGGTGGCATTTCTGCTAACACACTCAATGTGACCTTTCCAGGTAATTGCTGTTTTTAAAATGTACTTCAACCCCCCCCAATCAATGATATGCTGTCCTGAATACAACCAGCACAGTGGAGTGGGGTGGTGGTGGGGGGATCAGCTGTACCTGCAGGGGGTTCTGGAACATGAACCTAGATGCTAAACAGATTCATGAACCCAGGTATCACCAACTCCGGTCCTCGAGGGCTACCATCCGGCTTGTTTTCGGTGTTTCTTGCTCCACCATACCTGTATGGAGTAATTTAATCCTCTCCTTACCATTTTTTAACTCTCCACAGGCCTGTTAATTATTCATTCATTTCAATCAGGTGAGTAGGAGCAAAGAAACAGCTGACATGTGCAGGATGGTAGCCCCTCGAGGACCGGGGTTGCTGACCCTGCATGAACCTGACTGCAGGTGAAACAAGTCAAATCAGTTTTATAATCGATTTAATTGTTTGTTGTTTCGGCTCTGATGACAACTGTTATGGGAAATTGTGGATAAATTTGCAGAAATTACCACAATAAAAGCAAAACGCTTTTTAGCTGGCTGGAGAATCGTGTGACCTCTAAAAGCGCCTCGCTCAAAAAAAAAAAATAATAAAAAAAAAAAAAAAAAAAGAAATGTCCAAAGCCACAGATCGGGAGCAATAATGAGGAAAGCCTGAAAGGTTCTTATCCGCAGCTTCAGCAGATTTCCCTCCACACTGCTGGACTTCCATCTCTCAGACTGATCATATTTATATTTTATTAACCCCATGACTGCATGTTTTAGTCTCTATTTTTATTGAAGTCTGGTCTATAACTACTTAAAGTGTGTATTTTTATTGGCAATAGGGGGCAGTAGATACCTAAATCGTTGCAAGCAGGCAGTATTTTTGTGTTGGAGTAACACCTTACCAACGGATGCACATTAGGGTCAAAAAGCCCTGGAGAGTGCAAACTTTAGCAAAATAACGATCTCATCAGACTCTCTTTCATCACTGGCAACAAGTGAAGAGGTAAATGTGTAAAACAACAACATTCAAGAATAACAAAAGTTTTGTAATTGTTTGTTTCAAAACAGTAAATTCATGGGCTCCTGTAGAAGGAAACATGGCTTTGCCCAGATACTTAGACCCGCTCCCGTGTATTTTAGACCTGATTTTTATGGTTATTTGTTACAAAGCCGCCAGTATTTTCTAACAACTGCGCTTCCCTTAGTTCATTTTCAAGAAAATTTTGATGGATGTTTCCAGAAAATAATGGTAAAAAATACACATTGTCTCAGTAGAAAGTAACGAAGAGTAGTTTTCATGGGGTGGAGGTTAAAGGGTCTTTAAAGTAACACTAGATTGTTTTTTAAAATTTGAGATACTTTTTAACACGGGCAAATTTGTCCCTCAATCTCATCCACCTCTTCATGTGCTTGCCAACTCTAAACCCAAGTTTCCTTCATTTCCGTCCACAAATAAAACTCGCTGAGTGTCATTTGACTCATCCCATGAATAAAACGTTCATATTTTTATAGTTTTTCTGCCAGGTATTCTTCAATCTGCTCCATTTCTGTTGCTAGATTTCTTCAGCGTCTTTTGTTTTTGAGGGCGCAATGGCAGTGCTGTTGATGAAAGCGGCATCCTGACCAATCATAAGCTTGTGTTCTTCGTCTTGCTTGACGGATGTTTAGAAAAGTGGGCTCAACTCCGTTCGTCCTTGCGAGGGCTCTCAGCAGGTTTGCAAGGACGGATAACTGACGCAGAAGCATAAACTAGAGTAATGTCTTTGGAGGTAAAGCAAAGAGCTAAAACCAAAGTAAACATCGGCGCTGCTTACGCTAGTTTGAGGGAGCTAAAGGAGGCTACAAAATCACGGACTGATGGTGACCTGGCTTTGTTGCTACTGAACTTGTAAGTAATAATATTTTTTGTCCAACAGCGTGGATCTTCATACTTCATGGTTAATTTTAATATCAGTTGGCTCTTGTTAGCGTTAGCTCATTGTTGTTGCTAGCTACAGCAGGCTGCAGCAGGGTTGTTTACAACAGTTGTAATTCCACTTTCAACCAGTAGGGAGAAGGAGCAGGAAACAGCTCTGTGTTACTTTAATAATGTGTCAACATGAAA